AGAATCATGAAAAGAAGGCTGTTGAGGTATTTTTTTTTCAGGGAACACGTTTGCAGCGCAAAGATCAGACAGTAAACGACAGAGAAACGAAATTTCATGGTCGAAAGCAGGGTGAGCAAAATGCTACAAGTTGGACACGTGGCTCTCTCTGTACTTACTGCCGATGTACGATTGCCTTCGTCGAAAGGAGCTTCGGAATCGCCATAACCTCACGGTGGCCGTCCAAGAAAACGGGACGACTTCATTTGTGGTTTTCAATAGCCTACTGTAGTACAGGATGACATAAACGAAAGAAATATGGAGTATTGTGACCAATAGAATGTATCTGATTGGTGAATAACGGTCGAGTCGGTTCAGCTGGATGAAGCTGAAATAATAAAATAATAATAATGATAATAATACCTGAAATAATCAGGTACGTTCTACTCGATATTCAGTTGTTTAAAACAGAACGAGAATGGCTAGTTTATCCCTAAATCACTAAGATTGACGAGTTAAATTCCATTACTACGGTCTTTCGTGACATAAGAGGCAAAAGGAATGATCCAGGAAATGCTGAAGTGATAACCTGATAATGTAAACTGGTACAATGATTACATTCCTTTCAATAACTACATCGTCGTTTTCATCATGCACCGTACTACGCTGGTGATTGATAGTGTGATTGTTGTTCAGAATGAAAACCTTGTGCTTTCACCCATCTTCACGCCTATCAGTTAAGTTCAAAATGGTTTTTTTGTTAAAATACCTTTTGAATTCGTTGTTACCGCATTTGCATAAATTGCTGAGGATATTAACGGCAAAATCTGAAGACTGCCAAAGAAACGTAAGGAAAGCTCAAATTATGGCGCCATCCATCAGGACTGACTTCGGAGAATTAGATTCTTCTCCAGTCATTAACATCTCACAGGGTTGGTGGGCGGCATAATGTTTCATAACCATATTCATTTAAGAAGAAATGACCCAGATCACGTGGTCCTTCAATCTCAGTTGTAGTTTGAATATCCTTATCATGACTTCATATATGGTTAACTCGTTAACTCAAAGGCATCATACAACAAGGAATGACTTATCCGGAAGTTTACTTTACAAATGATGCGCCTGAAGAAAAGAAAAGAAAGTTTGCATCCGGTGGAAGAAGCAGTTCTCCCCTAAACTTCCGTGATTAGTGCCATAGATAGCGCGGTTCTTACAAGTTTCTTATAGCCCACTAATGATCTAAGTCAATAATGCTACAGTCAAGAACGTTGTACGCTTTTCCTGAAAGCCATATCCACGATCATCTGCTAATATGAAGCTTCACGAATATATAAGCTAGTTTAAGATTAAAAAAGGGTTATGTGCTATCACATAGATTATTCAGAAGCCCACATGGAGGATTTTAAACACTCCATCGGAAAAATCATGGGCTCAAAGTAAAAAGGCACCATTCAATCCCCTTGCAGCATGTAGCGATATTCAGTTCCTCTTAAGGTCACCAGAATAACTCAAAAAAAATCTCCGAGAGATGAACCACGCCAACATGGAAATAAGACTGAACGCGAACCTAAAGAATCGTGCTTAACAAATATCTCATCAGGCTTGGAAAAGCATAAAACTGTGTCTATCTAAAACTGCACATCCCTGCAACGGAGAACTGACGATATGAAATCAATAGAAGAATAGAAATTACGTGGAACACTCTTAAGAAGACTGGAAAAGTTTCTGTCCTCGAAACTGCTCTTGTACTTGAAACTGAAAGTATTCTATTCCACAAGTGCGTAGTATGTACTACATAAATGTCAAAAGCGAACCTTAATCCCGAAAGCAATCCATAAACTCTAGACTAAGCTGTGCAGTATGGAAAATGTATATTGGGAATAACAAGAAAAGATGGGAATACGAATGATTAGCTAATACAATACAGAAGTCTGCCATTTCATTGAGCGGGAGAAGAAATCAAAGTGGCAATGAACCAGAGAGACACTCTACTAGATTTCAGAACAGAATAATGGCTTGTAGGAAGACCTACAGAACCTCGGCAGGATGAGCTGAAAAATTCGTTAGACCACAATGAATAACAACTTTCCATTGATGCTGGTTCGTTTCCTGTCTTGTACAGGAATTAATAATAAATTTTTACGAGAAACTGCGCCAAACTAAAGTTTTGCCGTATACGAGAAATATGAAGAGATGTTTCAACAAAAATCAAGGACCTGTTTATGAATCGCATAAGTCACATGACGGATCTAATGTTTCAGTACTTAGGCTGACCTGATGGCATAAATCTCTTTCTATACATTCATCATGTTATAGAATTGTTAGACTCCTACTGGTTCTTTCTAGAAACTTCTTCTCCCTCCTGTTGACTCAGTTTCGAACTATTTTCCTTGAGACTGATTGGATGATACGGAGCCTCGCCTTGTCGCACTGCTCTACAGCTGAAATATTTGTAACTGCTTTGGCAACGCAGGCCATAGAGGAGGCTAGAGCAAAGGAATGCGGTCCAGATGGTGTTTTACAGCACGAAATACAAGATCTGAATTATTTGCGAACTCCTTAAGTAGTTAAGGAAAATGGTTTATCTGTTTCGATAAACTCTTTATGCATTTGAATTGAAACCATTTCCTCGTTTGACTTAAGATCTCCTTTGACGAAACAGTTTTTGATACAAAGGTTCAAGAACAGTTAATCCTCTCTACCTGGACCAACTCCTGAAACATCTGCTCGCAAGGAACTCAATTCGAACTTAATTCTAACTCAATTCTAAAGTCCAAAAACTTGGAATTTCTCTGTAACACTTACAGTTAGTTAAATAATAAATGCGAACAGCAAACGCTTTAAAACAAAGCCTGATAATCATCAAGAAAAGAATCACCTCCACAGACAAGATCCTTCGAATGCGCGATGTAGATTCCAACACCATTTTGCAGCATATGTATCCTTTCTTTGCATACCAACGGATTTTCTAAATTCAACGTTAAAGTAATCACAGCTTCGACTGAAAGAAAAGTTCAGCAATACAGTTTGCTTGCCGAATATCTTATTATGTTGGAAAAATGGCTCAATACCATACTAACAGTTAGCCCAGTTTGAATGAGTTGAACTCCTTTGACATATCCATAGACGCTGGTTCATTTTCAGATTTGAATATGCCTTTGGGATAACTCCGCCATGGCCGGTCCCAAGCCCGGATGAGAAAGGAGGAGGGTTGGAGACCGTGGCAAGTCT